TACAAGATTGTTGTTTTTTATTATTATAAATAAAAATATTTTAAAATTTATATTCTTATAAGAAATATTTTTTACATTATATTATTTTTATTTATTTATATTTGTAATTTGAATTTTATAATTACAGACACCAAGTGCAGTAAAAAAAATCAAAGAATTATTGAAAGATAAAAGTGAATTTGTAAGTAAATATATTTTAATTATCACTGAAATATTATTTGTTTTGCTATAAAATGATTTAAATATTGCATTTATTAACAAAAAAATATTAGTTAATATATATGCCATATCGACGTGTTTTTTCCCAATACCTTGATTTTTGGCTCTCTTTTTCTTGGTATGATTATTAAAAAATTAAATTGATTATAAAATTACATAATCATTTTTTATTTCAGATTGGTCTAAGAGTAAGTGTGAAACAACGAGGATGTAATGGTCTTAGTTATACTCTAGATTATGCCAAAGAAAAGTCTAAACTTGATGAAGAAGTTATTCAAGATGGTGTTTGTATTATGATCGATAAAAAGGCACAATTATCTTTATTAGGTACTGAAATGGATTATATAGAAACTAAATTAAGTTCTGAATTTATTTTTAATAATCCAAATATCAAAGGTACATGTGGATGTGGAGAAAGTTTCTCCGTTTAGTTACTTTATAAAATTGTAGTTAACATAGATCATTCAATTGATAAATTTTAGTAAAATGTAAGTTTACAAGCATATAACTTTACTAAATGACACCTTTTTAATTTTTTCTATAAATATCCATCAATTTGGATATTTAATCTTAAAATTTATAATAATTATAATATTAAAGATGTCATGTAAAGGTAATAGAAAAATCACTATTGTTTACTAAAAATTTTTTTTGTTATAAAAAAGGAAAAATTGATAGTATGACAGATGTAACATTATACAATATTACATTCATACATACACGTACACAAAATATGTTACAAGATATGAAGGAATGTGTAACAATTATCATAAGTAAATTTAAATTTGAATTGGTAAAAATTTGGAAAAAAAATCATTTATATATTCTTATAAAATATTTTTATATAAATAATAAATTTATTAACAGATTCAATCTAAATTTAAAATGTAAGTATGATATATAATTAATTATGTAATATTGTATATTTATTTTGTAATTAAGTGTTACATATAGAATAATTATATATAGATGTATAATAGTTAACAAAATATTTTGATTGTTACAATAAGTTTAAAAATTTATTTATCATTATTATGTACATACATTCATATTTTGACAATTACTATAATTATATGCTATATGTATTTATTAATGATATATATATATATAAAAGTAAATATATATATATATACATATGTAATTGTGTATGTTGGCTATGATATTTTGTGTCATTACTATGTAATTATTATTTTCTTAAGACTAAATAAACGTGATATATTTTCGTAACATCTTTTTTTCGAAAATTGTATGGAAAATTTTATGAATATTTTTTAAAAAGTAAATTTCATCCATACCAAAAAACAATTTACTCTTACAATTTACTCTTCGTAGGTAACAGCTTTTCGTCCATTCACAATAATCATGAAATATACTAATTTTTTGAATAAAATGCGTGAAATTGTTCATGAATATTTATTATATACTTTAAACGTAACTTTAAATTATATATAAAATCAAACGTATATTTTCGACGCGTTTAAATGATATAGTAATTGAAATGAAATTACAAAAATTTATTAATATTAAGCGATAATGTTCATATATTATATATATTCATATATAATGCACTTAAATTTCCACTACGGGGAGCCACATAACAGTTGATAAATACTGAGAAGTAGTGAAGTGGAAAAATAGATAATATCCAGTTAATTTTTAAAAAGTGACCATAAAAAAAATAATAAAAAAATTTCTAGAATAACATAGTACATTATAATAATTGAAAATGAATACTTCATGGGAAAATACTCGTCATGCTTTAAGAAGTTTTGCAAACGTGTTAAAATGTTACAAATGGTAAGAATTTTAAAATAATTAGAATAAATATTATATAATAAAAAAAATTAATATAAAAAATAAATTAAAATAATTAATTAAAAAAATATATATTACATATTATTCTTTAAATTTCATATGTTATTTATATATAATTTAATAATATTATTTATATATAATATACATTGTTTTTTTTAATAATATACATTATTTATATATAATATACATTGAGTTTTATTTATTTATCAATTTAAACCTTTTCATAATTTATAAAATATAAAATTCTTTCGTTCAATTTTTATAACAATTTCTTTTTTTTAATAAATATAGTTTTTTCTTTTGAATTTTAGCGGAAATGAGCCAATAAACGCAACAAGATATACTAATTGTTGTCATTTTTTTTGTAAACAATGCATTGAAAATGATTTAAAATGTATAATATGTAACATACCTGTACGACCACTCGAAATATGTAATGATCATTTAATTAAAAGTCTTGTTTCTTATTGTAATAACATTGCAGAAATAATACAGGAAAGGTATTATAAATTTAAATCATAAATTTGTATTTATATATTCATCACATTCATTTTTTATAATATATTTAAATTATTTGAAATATATAATTAAATGTATAATATGATATAAAAATTTTTTTGATATTGAGATATATTGTTAACAATATTATTCAAAAATTTTATGTAAATTTTATAAAATTTTAATATAATATATTTTATATTTTATTAATGTATAATTAATATAAATTTAATAGAGATTTATGGAATTCAACCACAAATTCAAATGCAATAGAATTTTCTGCAATAACAAACAATTCTATTTGTACAATAAATAATACAAAATATACTATACCAAAGAATATAAATAAACCAAATGCTAAAGGAGAAACATATTTACATATTGCATGTGTGAAGGTTAATTTTTATTGTTTATAACAAATATGAAATAATTATAAAATATAATTAAACTTTAAACATCAAACAAAATTTAATAATTTTATTATATACTTGCAGAATCAAGAGTGCCGTACAAAAAATTTATTAGCTGCTGGTGCTAATCCAAATACAAAAGATTTCACTGGTTGGACACCTTTAGTAATTATATTGTCCTAATAATTTTTTTAATTGTTTTTATGCTATTTATATATTATAAATTTTTTTTTATAGCAAGAAGTTGTAAGTTTTGGATATACAAATATATGTCAGCTATTATTAGAATGTGGAGCATTACCAAATACACCTGGTATATTAAATAGAAGAGCTTTACATGATGCTGCTATAAATAATAGATTGGCAGAAGCAAAAATATTATTAAAGTATTCAGCTAATAAAAATGTATATGATGATTATGGTAAAAAACCTATGTATGTGTCAATTAATTATTTTATAATAAATATAATAATATATTATAAATAACTTATTAATATATTAAATATATATTCTTAGTAATAAAATTATTATAATATAATAAAATTTATATAGAATTTTGATATAAGTATTTTATATATATAATATATATGTAATATTATATATATGAATATTATGTTATTATTTTATATTATTACTTTATATTGTATTGTATTTTAGAGACTATTGCGAACCAAATAGTGAGATGTGGGATATTTTAAAAGATGAAAATGAGTTCGATGATACAAGTAAGAAAGAAAAAGAAATTGTAAATCATAACTGTAGTTTTAATAAGTCATTTTCTGCACAACAAATATTCGATATGATTGTTATATATCCATTAAATTTACGAGAAGAAAATAAAAAATATTTGAATGAAATAGCTTTAAAGCATAAAATTAAAATTATGTCTGTTTTTCGGTATTATTTTTTTCTTTTAATTTATATATATTATAATATTATATCATTAAATTATATTTTTAAATTCAAGAGATTATAAATATTGCGTGATATATTTTTGATGTTATAGACCATCTGTAACTCATGTTATAGTGGAAGCTAATGATAAAAATATCATTCAATTATCATATGATGTAATGATAGCACTTTTGCGTGGAATTTGGTTACTTAATAGTGAATGTATGTTTATAATATAAATATAAATAAAATAATATAAATAATTTACATATAGTTTTAAAAATTAATTTTTATAATATTTTTTTTAAAGGGATTCAGCTAAGCATGGATATAAGTGATATATTAAAAGGAGATTTAGAGCTATTTGAAGTCAGTGGTGCACCAATTAAAGGTATTCCAAAAAAAGCTAGAGAAAGTGCACAAAATTGGGTAAAGTTAATTATATATATAACTCAATTATTTGTAATATAAATAAACATTATTAACAAATATATATCTTCTTATTATGTTTTTAGAATCCAGGTCTTTTTAATCAATGTTATTTTTATTTTGCGTTTCAATCAAAAGATATTTATATAAATGATATACATTTAACAAAAGATGCATTAATTACACTTGTGCAAGAAGGTGGAGGAATAATTTTGAAAAGAGAACCAAATCCAGAAGATATAAAGACCAAAGAACAATTTGTTCCTTTTCATATTGCTAATGAACCTAGTCATTCTTTACATGAATGTACACATTATATCATTTATATACCAGAGAAAGATGAACCACGTATAAAATATAATATGCCACATATAAAAACATTACCACTTATATGGCTAATTGAATGTATAGAAAAATTTACATTAGTTGATCCATTACAATTGGGTTTACTTAAATTTTAATTATTTAATTATACATATATTTTGTTCATATAATTTTTACATGTAATCTAATAATAATATTAACAAATATAATGTAATTTTCAAATTATTTAAAGGAATTGTAGGTTTCTTATTATATAATTAAACATAATAACAATTTATTTAATTTATATTATTTATATAATTATATATATATAATTAAACATATATATTTAAACATATTTAAAATTTTTTATTAAAAAAATATAATTTTTGTTTTTATAATTTAATAATGACAATTAAAATACTTAAATTAATAGTTAAATTTCAAAAATTTTATTTATTATAAAATATATTTCTTGTTTAAATTCTTAAAAAAGGCAATATTTACATTAATGCAATATTATGATTATGAAGGATTGATCGTTGCATAAAGAATGATAAATTCCAAAGGGAAATATCGTACGGTATCCCGTATATTTACGGGTAAAGTACCGCTAGTCGTGCACATATACATATACATGCGGTAAGAAAGAGGGAACGAAAGAAAGTTAGAAGGGAGTGAATGAGTGAATGAGAAAGAGAAAGAGAGAGAATAAACGTAAAAGATAGGGAAAAAAAGAGATTCAAATATATATAGTATAATGTAATATATATAAAATCAAATAAGATATGAAAGAAAAGTCTAATATAGAAATAAAAAAATCAATAAATCAATAAAATGAATAAAAAATCAGTAAATTGAGAAAATTTGTAAGATTAAAATAACAAAGTATTATTTATACTTTGAATATAATAAAACAAAAATGGATATAAATGGGTATTTTAGAAATAATATATAGTGTAATATATAATAATATTATAGTGTGTCTTTTATTAAGATATTATATCAATTAATAATAAAATTTGCAATTGAATATTTGATTATTAATCATTTATAAATTGAATATTTCAGTTGAGAGTTATAACTTATTAAATTATCACAAAAATGTTGTAATATAAATAATATTTAATATATATACATAATAATAATTTAATAACAAATAAATAAAAAGCAAATAAATAAAATTTTATTGTTAATTTTTAAACCAATGTTATATATGATGTAATATATGACTTTAAAGAAATTTGAACTCGTAATCAATTTTATAATTATTATTATCTAAATGATTAGAAATATTATTAGTCATTAATTAGTTATTATTAAATAAATTGTGAAATTTAATTGTTTAATTTTTGTTAAAATGAATTAATTTATATTAATTTTCTTTTAGTTATTATATTGTTTTTCTTATCAAAAATTTTATCATTACTTTATAATCATAATTAATCAAAATT